GCAATTCAAGAGTGCTTCCTATGCACTCATATTGTGACCTGGATATCCCAAGTTGTGACCTAAGTTGGTTTTCACCGAAAATTTTTCTAAGTGTCTAGACTTGTTCCTTTTTGCGTGTTGATGATGTTTGATGATGGTTTGAAAGCATGAATGCTTAAATGTTGCTCTATGATTTGTTTAATTCATGGCCATATACATTTGCAATGTTGAGCATATGAATATGTTATTTTTAAAGCTTGAAAGTATGTGAAACCAAGCATGTCATATACTTGTGTTTGTCTTGCATGCATTTAGGTAATGTTTACTACTAAGATTCTTCTGAATCTCACTCTCCCTTAACCAAACATAATAGGTTCATGCTCATGGCAAAGCAATGCTTGAAAGAGAACAAAGAAAGAAAGGAAGAAATGTGAAATAGTGTATTATTTTATGTTATGTAATGATTGAAGGGAATTGAAAGACGACGCGCAGCGAAAAAACTTAAAAATTTTAAAACTTTCAATCCCTTGCCCGGATCTACCGATCGCGTTTAAGTCAGGTAGTAAGAAGTATTACCTTCGGTGTTCGGTTTCCGAGTGGCTCGGTGATTCCATCGTTCAGGATGCCTCTGCTCGCCTCCTTTATCGTTCGAAATCGACAACTCCGGTCGGCTTCCTCTACCGGTATCCACACGAATAGCTCTCCGGTTACAGATGGCTTGCTAGTGCCCTTTTGTCCGTCTAGGGTTTTCAGAGAATCCATCCACTCTTATCTCTCTTAGGCCGTCTCTTATCTGTTGGTACTCTCACACTTAAAACCCTAGCTCCTCATATCAAATATATAGGATGCTATAGGTTTAATGAATAATATTTAATTTCGAAATTAACTCTAAATTAATTCTGAAATTAATATAATATCAAATATTGCCTAATCAGATAAGAGAACAATTAAATAAATATGGTTTAAATTAAATCCGTCTCACAGATTTAATTCACCTATTTATTTAATAAAGAGATGACAGAATTAATTTATATATATTTAATTTATCCTTATAAATTAAATCTAACAATTAATATCTCTTATATTTATATAATATATATATACGAATTTATATATATATATACACGTCCACCCTATATTATTCATTGAATCTGGACATATCTTAGATTCAATGAATCTGGACATCATAACTCGTGTTGGGCTATTTTGTGTGTGACCCTGTAGGCCCATATGAAGTTGGCAGTGGGCCATTAACTATAATGACACACAAGTCGTAAGTGGTCTCTAGCAAGACATCACGACTACCCAAATCATATGAGGATCGTTGAACGATGTAACCTTTCATACAACCATATCATGTCCCTTTTGTCACACGACATTTTGGTCATGGATGAGGCATGGAGAACGTCATCCTCCTATTCATGACCGTTACTTTCTCGATCCCTGAGTAGTCTGAGTATAGAAACGGAACTACCTTTCCATTATAGTATGGCCATACATTTCTCAGACTCACTCATCGAGGGGCCCAGTAATGTCTCTCTACGAATGTGAGGGACAAATTCCATCTTGACCATCCACATTCCTCCGCATGAAAAAAACCACTAAGCCTGAACATAGTCTTTATGATCACTCGGTCAAAAGTGACTTTTGACTAGGTCAAAGCTAAGCGTTTCTCATGTATGAATCCATGATGATCTCAGGTCAAAGGGCACAGTGACATGGTTTGTATATGAGAGAAGCTTATGACTTAACCCATGTAGCTCTCTCATAGCGGGTCGGTCCAACACCTTGTACTCTTACATGTGCCTATGACTTTAATTTATATCTCTATATATCTTTAAAGTCATACTGGTCTTATTTCATCTTTGCTCCCACATAGATGACCGACCAGGGACATTTAGGATAAACCAGGAGTTATCCAAGGATAGTCATCACAATAAACATGCAAATAATATGATAATGTAATTAATAAATTCATAAATTAACAATGTTCAAAACATAATGATTGGCCCCTAGGGCACAATTTCCAACAATGATATGTGATTATGAGATTATATGTACCAATTAGTGATATGTATTGGAAATAAAGTTATCGGCATGTATGATGGACTATAATGATGTATAAAAATGATTAATACAATGTTGGATTGATATTGTATATGTATTGAATTTATTGTGAAATTTTATTACAAGTCAGAGGATAAAGTATCCCCAAATATGTAGTAAACTTGATGATCACATGTGTAATATCCTAAATTTTATTTCAGGATTTATGCAAAAAAAAAGTAAAAAAATAAAATAATGTAAAATAATAATATTAAAAAAACAACTCACCACCTTTTCCACCAAATTCAGTGGAAAATAAGGCAATATTTATGATGAAGAAGAAAATTGGGGATGGATGGTTGGAGGGAGAAATTAATGAAGGGAGAAAATAGAGAGAGGAACAGTTGAAGGTTACAGATAAAAGAGAGATGAGAGGTAAAGAAGGAAAGAAAGAAAGAGAGAGTGAGAGGAAAAGAAAGACAAAGATGCGGTCATTGTGAAGGGAAGGGCAAAATTTGAAGATAATTTGGATACATAAAAATACTTCTTTTTATTAAATTTTCTTTATGAATATTTCCAATATATTTTATGCTTCCTAATAGTAGTATTACTATAGTAATTAGAAAAAATTGTAATACTTATATATGGGATAAGTTTTGAGTTTTGATAATAGATGACCATAGGAATTTAGAGGTAAATGAGTAGTTAATTTTAATCAGTTTATATTTGCCCATTTATTGGTTTTTAGTATCTAAATTCATTTGTTCAGTTGAAAAATCTGTCATTTATGAGATATATCATATTTGTACTAATCAAAATTATGTTAAATAATTTCTTTAGTTTGTTGGACATATTATTAAAATTTTAAGGGAAAAAGACAATAAAATACCCTAAAAATTACTAAATGAAAAATTAGGGTAGGTAAATTTCAAAATTCCAATTCAAACCCCAGTAACATTTTGGAATTTTCAAATTTTGTAAAATGACAACATTGTCCTTACTGTCAGTGACTACTTCCATATAACTATTGACTACTCTATTTTAACTATTGACAACTTTTGTTTTCAAAGTTCTGATGAATATTTTTATATAGCTATTGACTACACAAGAGTAGTAAATTGCATTACTAGACTAGTCAATAACTTAGCAAGAGTAGTCATCAGAATTTCAAAATAAATGTAGTCAATAACTAAAAAAGAGTAGTCAATACATAAGAAAGAGTAGTCACTAGAGCTCCCCTGACCAGTCACCGGAGTTCTAGTAATGTGTCAATAGAGTTTAAAAATAAATGTAGTCAATAGCTAAAAAAGAGTAGTCAATATATAAGAAAGAGTAGTCATCGGAACTCCGGTAACCGGTGACCGGTCGTCGAAGCTCCGGTGGTTGGTCACCGGCAAGGTCAGTCTAAACTCATGAAGAACAAAGACATGACACGTAACAAAAGGGAGAGATCAGAAGCTGAAAACGGAGGTGGAGCAGAGTCGAACGCTGAGAAGACGAAAAAGGGAAGGAAAATTTCTCCTAAAATGCTCTTATCTACTCCTCCAACTTTCACCATTCTACAAATCTAATTTATTACGGTGGAATTGCTTTGTGGGCAACCTGGTTTGTAGTGAGAGAGGGGTTGAACGTGGGTATTACGTAAGAAAGTGGAGCTTAATGATGGGTTTGGGTTTTCAAGTCAGTTTACTCGTACATGGTCTAATGGGGATGGGTTTATGAGTGTAGATGGTTTAAATGAAGAATCTGACCAGGATGAGAGAGTGATACATCAGAAATGGAAAAATGGTGGGAACTGATAATGTGGGCATGAAGTTTGAGGGCTAACAGTAAGCATGAGGTGGTAAGTGTTGTCAAATTCATTATTGGAATTGTGAAATCCCATATTTAAGTTGTCAATGCAGAAGTGTGTGCGCGCGTTTTTTGGGTGTTACATTTTTTGTGAAATCGCAAGAAAAATTTCAAAATCCTGATAAATGAAATTGATTATTAGGGAACTAAAATATTGATTTATGCTTCTCTGGTGCAGGTTAGGTAGCTTTGATGACATCTAACATTGGGTCAACATCTTCAAAGCGTCTTGCTTGTTACTTTTATGTGGGTGGGAAGTTTGCAGAAAATGGTGATGGTGAAGTTAAGTACTATGGTGGAACTGTCAGGGTAAGAGTGATCAAGGAGGGTATAAGGCTATTGAGGGTTATGATAGGAGAATGGTTTGGTGTAGATAGTAATGGTTGCGACATTAAATACACATGGGGCTTGAATGATAGGATATTAATAGATCTTATTGATGATGATGAAGTTGACAACCTATTTGAGTATAATGATAGTAATGCACATGTTTATGTAGCAGCTAAAGGTAATGAGAATACAGAGGAAGAAGTGGCTGATCGAAACAGGTAAGTCACAAGTTTCGGATTATGAAAGTTGTTACTTGCGATAATGTTGTTGTTAATATCATAACAAATGTTGTAATTATACATGCAACATGTGAAAATTGTCGGGACTGTCACAGCAAAATGATGAGCCAATGATTGAGGATGTTGTCGAATGTGTGAATTACATAGCAGCTGAAAATGTTCTTAGCCTGCCATATGCAGTAGAGAGTGCACCAACTCCTTTACCAGGAATGAATTCCCTGAAATGGAAGACAGTATTGTTAGGATTGAGGCAGACTTTTCCAGATGCGGATGATTTCAAGAAGAAACTACACAAATTCAGCATTGCAAACAAATTTGAGTATAAATATGTGAGGAATTCTAATGCCCATATGTATGTCAAATGCAATGTTGAAGGTTGTCCATGGAGGATCAGTGCGAGAGCAGCTGGAAAGAGTACTCCAGCATTTTTACGTGTAACGACATTCAAAAAATGAGCATGTTCATAATGCCCAAGACAATCTTCACGTGACACGTGATGGATCAGCTAGCTTGACATCATCAATTATAATTGAAGAGGTTAGGGATCATATAGACATGCATCCAAATGATATAAAAAAGAGGTTGGAAAGAGATTATGGTGTGAAGTTGACATACAAGCAAGCATACAGGGCCAAGGAAAAAGCGTTGGAGGACATACATGGCAGACCTGATCAAACTTACATGCTTATTCCATGGATATGTGACCGGTTGAAGGAAACCGATGACAAAACAGTGGCAAAATGGGTGGCTGCAAGGAACAACAGATTTGAGCGTGTATTCATAGCCTATGGATGTTGTATAGAGGGTTTTATTGCTGGTGCTAGACATGTACTGTATATTGATGGAAGTCATTTAAGTGGACCGTATAAGGGGACACTACTTTCAGCGTCGGCTTATGATGCGGACAACGAATTATTACCTTTTGCCATTGCGATTGTGAAGGGAGAGATGCTTGAGGATTGGACATGGTTCTTACATATGATTAATGAGATATTTGGGTCAATGCAATTAACAATCATTTCAGATCGACAATGCAATTATAGGTGCTGTGCAAGCAATATTCGGAGGTGAGCAACATGCGTACTGTTACAGACATGTTAAGGAGAATTTCAGTACACAAATGATCAAGTTAAATAGAGGAAAAAGGAAGACAAGTGGCAACACAAGGGAGGATGGACTGCATTTCCTAGATGCCATTGCATATGCAAGGCTTGACACAGAGTTTGATCAAGCAATGGATAACATGAGACACTTCAATTCCCAATTATTTGAATGGCTTGTCAATCATGGTGATATTCACAAGTGGGCCTTAAGCAAGTTCCCTTTTAAACGATGGGACAACATAACAATAAACCTTGCAGAGTCATTCAATGCGTGGATGCTGAAGGAGAGAAGATATAATGTTGCCCAACTTATACATGAGCATCGTGAAAAAGTAGCCAAGAAGATGTATGCAGCAAGCATGACAATGAGCAAATGGAAGAATGGTGTAGGCCCAAATACAAATGCAACATTGATGGAAAATGTGGCGAGATCTGCACAGATGTTAAGTGTTCCTTACGGAAGGGGTAGGGTGTGTGTCCATACAGCAAAAGGAGCCATTAATGTTGATCTTGAAAAAGGTGAATGTAGCTGTGCAGCTTGGCAAATGTCAGGCATCCCATGCCCACATGCATGTGCAGCTATCAAGGCCTTGAATTGCAATGTGTATGATTTTGTTGAAGAATGCTACAAGATTACGTCCCAACAAAAGATTTATGGTAGGACGATGACTCCAGTGGTGACAATCGACATGCCAAATCCTAATAACTATCGGCTGCAAGATATAGCAAGTCAAGTGTTTTTGGCACCACCTTTGACTAGTCGACCACCTGGAAGGCCTAGGATAAATAGGCAAGAGTCGCAGTTTCAAAACAAGAAAGTCTACCATTGTAGTGCATGCCAGCAAGTTGGCTACACAAGAAGAACATGCAAGAATCCAAGCCCAACTTAAGGTTTCATGTCAATACCAACAGGGGTAATTTTTTTGTTATAGGAATGGAATGACTCTTGAACCCTTTTTAATTTTTTTAGGAGAAGGGTTGATAGGTAGGCTATCTTTTTTGTTAATGATGTTAACTGGGTAGGAGATGTTCTGTAATCTGAATGACAAGAAAACATTAGGTGGTGGGTTAATCCTAATGTTAACTTGTCATTTGGATATCAGTTATGTAGCTTCTGTCATGGGCCTACTGGTTTTTGGTAAATATTATCACTTCAGTGGTCAATTCCTTTACAGATATAGTAAAGTCTGAATGTTAATGTAAAAATCGTATGATGGGTAGGCTATCCTTTTTGTAAATGATATTCACTGGGTAGGATATGTTTTGTAATGTGAATGACGAGGAAACATTAGGTGGTGGGTTAATCTTACTGTTAACTTGTCATTTGAATATAAGTTATGTAGCTTCTGTGATGGGCCTACTGGTTTTTGGTAAATATTGTCACTTCAGTGGTAAATTCCATTACACATGTAGTAAAGTCTGAATGTTAATGTAGACATTCTATGATGCTCTTCTGGTGTACTTCTATGCTATTTTGTCAACACAAATGACCTTTTGTTTAATGCCCTCGAGGGAGATGGTGGAAGTTGCCAATGGGTATGACTGGAGTGGTTAATGTCATCAACAATGTTGTTATTCACATTACCAATGTTGTTATTATCATTTCCGAGCTAGTGAAACTTCCTGAAAATATGTTACTTGACTTTGAAATAAAGGAAGTGGAAGTGGAAAAAGCAGAGTGGTAAATATCATCACTAAAGGTACATTTAATATTTCCAATGTTGTCATTATCATTACGGGGGTAGTGAAATTTCGTGAAGAATTTGATGCGTGGGTTTGAGTTAAGGGAACTGGAAATGGGAAAAGCAGACTGGTAAATCTTGTTACTGAAGTTACAATTAACATTTACAATGTTGTCATTATCATTACAAGGGTAGTAAAATTTCATGAACAATTTGATGCGTGGGTTTAAGGGAACCGGAAATGGGAAAAGCAGACTGGTAAATGTCGTTACTGAAGTTGCAATTAACATTATCAATGTTGTCATTATCATTACGGGGGTAGTAAAATTTCATGAACAATTTGATGCGTGGGTTTGAGTTAAGGGAACCAGAAATTGGAAAAGCAGACTGGTAAATCTCGTTACTGAAGTTGCAATTGACATTTCCAATGTTGTCATTATCATTACGGGGGTAGTAAAATTTCATGAACAATTTGATGCGTGGGTTTAAGGGAACCAGAAATGGGAAAAGCAGACTAGTAAATATCATTACTGAAGTTGCAATTAACATTACCAATGTTGTCATTATCATTACAGGGGTAGTAAAATCTCCTGAACAATTTGATGCGTGGGTTTGACTTAAAGGAACCGGAAATGGGACAATTTCCTGAACATGGGGATGCAAATGGAGAAACCATAGTGGTAAATGTCATTACTATAGTTGCAATTTCCCTTAACAATGTTGTGATTTTCATTACTCAGGTTGTGAAATTCTGTGACAATTTATACGTGGGGACAAAAATGCAGTTGCAAAAAGCAATAGCGAGGTGGTAACAATCATTAAAAAAGTTGCAATGTTTATTACGAATGTTGTGATTATCATTACCGAGGTAGTAGATTTCCGTTAAAAAAGTGTTAATTGGGTATGAACATGCAGAGTTGAAAAAGGCAATAGGAAGATTGTGACTATCATTACACAAGTTGCAATTATCAGTGCGAACGTTGTCATTATTATTACTGGGGTAGCGAAAATGGATTCAAAAAACATGATTTGGGCTTGAAAGACTTTAGATGCAAATGGCAACAGCGATGTGGTAACTATCATTACAAAGGTTGCAATTCTCAATCCGAAAGTTGTTAATCCTATTACTTGTGTAGTGAACCTGGGTCCAAGTGGATGTAATTTAGGGCACAAATAATCAACTTGTGATTATCATCACGGAAGTCACATGGCATGTTGTAAATACCATAACTTTTTTACTCAAATTATCCCAAAAAGGATTGCAATTAGGCCAACAACTGGCAGCCACTTAGTACCTCCAACCATAAGTCAAATATTAAGACTTCAAACTAACACTCCTTTTACAAATACTATATGCCTAATCTACATAATGTCTCCTCCTATCACAGATACCGTCTTTTGGTCAGTGTGGTGGCTTGGGTTGATGAAAGCAAGCTTAATGCTTCATCACGTCTTGAATTAAGCTCATGATTCACTAGCCACCACATGAGGTTTCGTCGGAATTCAGCCACTTGTTCATCCGTATAGTGAAGTATCTCACCGGGCTTCCATTTACTCAACCATATTAATACATGAACGCCGCAATCTCGCCTGCACATCAAAACATCCCAACGATGTAAAAGAATGAAAATAACACATTGGGCTGCTTTGAGACGTAATAATATCAACAACATAAACCACTCACAGATTGTTTTGTTGCGGAACAGGAGCCCAAATGATATCACTCATTTTCTTCTTCCCAGTGGCATTAGGCTTAACTATCTCAATAATGTCATAAAATCTATTCCTCTACACAATATCATTACGCAATTGTAAATAAAAGGTAAATGAAATGTCAATCATAGAAGATGAGTTGCATTATCCTTACACATTCAGTGACCACGGTCGTCATGTCATCAATAATTACACCCTTCTTCTTGCTCTTCTTCTTACCCTCTAAATTTGGCTTCATTGAGTCCAGCACATAGAAATTCATTGTGCTAGGCTCAAGCACAACACAGAACCAGTGAGCGCCAACAAGTGTGGGTCCAAAGATTTTCAGGTAAAAATTGTTTCTTCCGTTTTGTAGCATCCCACAGCTTTGGGTTAGCTGCCATTATTGCCTAAAACATGAACATTTTAGTCATTTATCAACATCAATCGACAAAAAACTAACATCTCAGCAAGCTTACCATAAAATCAGCATAAAAAATGTGCCGTTTCACCTGCCCTTCCTTCTCCATATCAGCCATTAGAGTCTTGCACATAGTTGACATCAGCTGTACGCAAAGAGATGATTGTTTTGATGAACCCAAAACACAGCATCTACTAAACAATTAAATGACCTCATCACAAATATTCTACTTACCTGGTTACCTATTTTCTCAATTCCGCCAAGTGTCCTTAGCTGATTCCGAGTGATATCTTCATCAGAGATTTTCACCAAAGGCCTAAAAATATGTTGTCAATATCATTATGCATGTAGTCAATTAGCACAAAACTATAATGAATATGATTACGTGGGTAGTGGATATGTACATACATGTCACCCTCTTTGCTTGAACACATACGGGAAACTATGTCATAAAACCGGTCCTTGTCATCCATGGGCCTCTTTCGCCTCTTAGTTGGCTTTGTCAAAATCCATGGAGAATTGATAGCGGATTTCATCTCCCTTTGCGACCTCCAGAGTTAACATCCCTTGTCCATGGGGGAAAAGGGCAGGGGAGACTCCATAATTTCTTTGTCTACACCTTCTGCTGCAACACCGATGTCATCACCCCTATCTGAGCCAGTTGCATCATCGTCTCCCTGATCATCTCCCCCATGGAACTCATCTCTATCATCACCTTCGTGATCAGACTCATGTCCATCATGATCATAGGGGTCCTCATCGCCAAATGCATCATCATCTCCCTTATCATCATCTGGGACGTCAATAGGGTCCTCATCATCTGTGGTCACATTATTTTCCTCTATCCTTATCTGCACCTTATCTAGCTCATCTTCCATTGCACTTATAAGCCTCCTAGTGCTTAATTCGATCTGAGCCATCAATCGTCCGTGCAACTTCTGTAACTCCTGCAGCAAACAATTTAAAATGAGTAAACACTTTTTTCATGAGATTATTTGCTAATGAGAATGAAAATTAGTAACGAAAGCACATACCGGGTGTAAATGACCCACACTTCTGAGTTTTCCTTCATCCTTCCCACTTCTATCCATACTTCCCTTGCCCTTATACAGTAAACCCCTCTTGCTTTCCCTCTCCTTCTTTTCCAGCTTCCTTATCCTCTCATCAGTCCAGAATTGAATGGCATTTAGGGACCCTCTCTCAACAGTTTTGGATAGTGGGAAGTGCTCAGCAAAATATAACTACAACAGTAAATCATTAACTTGCCAATTCCACAAATAAAGAAAACAATAACTTAAAAGCATAAGTCAGAAATACATACCAACAGGAGGTAGATGCATCCTCCCACATTGCAGCTTCCTTCATCTTCATCTTCGTCTTTCTTTGCTTTTGTGTACACTTTCACATAATCTCCCATCTCTTTCCACAAGTGCTTCACAATGTACGTGGCCCAATCAAATTGGTGAAATCCCTTCATGGTACACACATGACTCTTATTAGCTTGTCACTCACAGTTGTTTGTGAAGTAGGAGTTAAAAAACTCCCAAGTGTGTACAGCATAAACAAGAACTCAAACTCATCTTTCTTCTGCCCAGATTTAATGTCATTGAGTATCTTCGTATAAGGGACTTTACCAAATTCCTCCTTCAACCTCTGGTATGTCTCATCATCATCACATACGTCCATTTTTACCTTCTCCCCTGTGTGGGGTACACCCAACAAGTTTGCAACATCATTTGCTTCTATTTCCTTTATTATCCCTCTTATTAGAAATTGATGGGTAGGCGGATCATATGCTCGGAGAACACATACTATGAGGTCACGAGGGAGTCTCTCACATCCAATGTCAAGTAAATGGCCAAAGCCTAAATTTTGTACCCTCACTTTCAAATCTTCATCATCTTTTATGAAGTCCACTAATGACTTAAATTGCCGAACCGAGCAACGAGTGCTAAAAGCCACTTTTTTCTTCCTCTTCTTCTTCATCCCTTCCTTTCTTGATTGCTTCACCCTATCACTGTATTTCTTCTGCTCCTCTGGTGTCAACTGCTTCCATGCCTTTGATGCCTTTTTCACTTGTTCAGACATATTCTTAAACTTCTCCCCACCCTTAAGAAATTCTCGTCTAAACAACATGTAGCCATTCTTCACTTCTTCACTTGGCCCTCCTTCTACAACAAGCATAAATAACTAAATCTGGTCAGTTGAACAGCTCAACTTTCTTTGCATTTCAAAAAAGTTGTCATTACCATTTCCAGTGTAGTCATTCACATTATAGGTGTTGTTATTTAGCCACAAAATGAACCTCGACTATTTACTACTCAGATAACTAAATTTGCTAATCATGTAATGAATGATCATGTAATGAATGTTATTGCTTCTTTCTCACTTCACAGAACAGAGCAGAAAATAGAGACTAATGACATAATACACTTTAACAACAAACTAAAAACAATCTAATCTTACCAAACCTATATAACTCAACCACTTAATTCCTATTACAACTGCATATTACCGTTTGTCGCAGTCACAGTTACTTCGCCAACCTCCTCCATGACAGCAATGCGATTGATGCTTCTCAGCACTTCAGCGACCTCTACCTCTTCAATCCTCAAACCAGCAGATTAATCTCTACCTCTTCAATCCTCAGACCAACAGATTAAAAAATAAATGAATATGCATCAAAAGTGATTCTTTCTCGATGAAATGTTACAAAATTTGCATCTTCAAGTAACTTATATTATGGAAATTACTACTACACAGTGCCACAGATGACCAAGTAAATAATAGCAATACATAAGAAGGCCACAAAGGTTATTCTCACTTGGTACATACTGAAATGAATATGCATGTTCATCCCCAGGTAAATTGCACCGCTAAATGACTGAGGTTATGCCCATTAGGTAGCTATATCTTCAAAACAGAGTTCTACCCACGAAGAGTCACCCCTTTCAATTTATTTTACAATGTTAAATTTGCATAACCAATATGGGGATATAGTTGAACTCATTTTAGTCCCATACACAATGCTAAAAATGTGCAATGTCCATTACACGAACAGACCAAACAAGGGGGTGGAAACAGGAAGCATCCACTGGCTCATGTGCGACAGTGGTCTCAATTTATGGGCTTCTAAAAAGTAGTGTAGCAATCATAAACACACACGTATATTATGCCTTCCAACATTACAGCAACACAGCAATCAGACAACAACAATCAGAGAAATATCTCGTCAAACATGGACCGAGTTATATGAATTAGAGCAAGCAAGCAACTTCTGTAATTCCGTCACACACAGAAGCACCGACTTTTAATCTAATCTACCTTTACATTCCATTTTAAGCCTTTACCATTGCTTCCCCCTTTACAACCAACATTCACCGTTTTCTCCAAATCAAAACACTCCAATCAGACAAGCACAAGACGGAGAGATTTAGGTGGCTTACCGGGGTCGGAACGAATATCGACTTCTTCCTCAATCGGTGACGACCTTACAGGTGCTCTCCCTCAGAATCTCTCTCTCTAGCCACCCCCTCTCCCTTCTGAAGATTGAAGCTTCTCACTGGTTTATTGCTTCTCACTGCGACCCACGGAAAAGACGAAGAAGCCGGACGCTATTCACATACCTCGTTCATAGTTCCTCAACCATGGCAATGTGAGACTTGTGACAACCATATGCAATTTCGCCGAGTGCAATGTGAGAGTTCGGGGAACCCTCTGGTCTATGCAGTTTTGTCGAGTGGAGAACCGCCAACCAAACTCCAGTTCCGTTGCACAATATCCCGCCCTCTGATTCCCGAAAAAATTGAGGGCATTTCAGTCTTTTTGGCAAATTATCCAAATTCCATATTGATACCCCATGCCCATTTTGTCATTTCAGTAATTTACATGCCGATTTTGTCATTTCAGAATTCAACAGTCATTTTCTTGTCATTTTCCCAAAAAGAAATCTGATAGTTATACCATTACAATTTTGGTTAGATTATTTATTTATAAATATTTGAGGTACTATTGAATTTTTTATGGTTTGATTTTGAGGTTTAAACTTGAAATGGGATTTTTTTTAGAATTTAAAATATAATAATTGCATATTTAGAAATTTTGGAAAATTCTTTTTATTAAAGTAAATAATCCCCAAGAATGTCAATAAATAATTTGGCTTGTTAGAAAATTATAAGTTGGTTCTAAAATACTTAATTTTGGGTTACAAGAGTTGCGAGAATTTAGAATATAAATTAAATTAAATTAAATTAGAAATTTAACTAATATATACAAGCTTAATTAATTAGCTTATATTAATATGTGGTTATATTAATTATTGAATTTTTTTTTTGAGTACAGGGTTGACTTTGTGGTAGTCCTTTTTATAGTCTTAGTAAAAGGCAATCACTTTCCACTTGTTATATATATTTGTATTATGTTTGTGAGTGATTTTGAATTACATGAGATTCTTAAAATGCCATTGGGCTATGATTTGAGCAATAAAATGTGTTATTGTTGAAATTTCCTTGAGATACTTATGTTATTAAAAAATGCTTATGAAATCATGAATTTATAAACTTGTCATGTGGGACATGAATTTGTTGAGAAATTGTTTTGAGAATTGATGTTAATTATCAAAATTTAGAAATCTCGATTTTGATAAATGTGAAAGTTATTATGTTATAAGGAGACTAAGATTCTTTTTTTACCATAGTTAGTATTATTAAATTTTAAGTTTAAAAAAGTTAATAATAAGTTAGAGATAACCGTTGTTACAACATGAATCTGGGCAAATGGAGTCTCATCATGAAATTTGGTAGACTTATATATCTCACTTTAGGATTTAAAATGACTGGTAGATCACTCAAATTAGAATTTGGTTGAAAAGTTATAATAATCCAAAGTTAGGTAAAAACCCTAGACATTAGAAAATTTACCAAATAAATAATAAATTTCACAGCATTTACTGTACGAATTGGGCAAGAAAAAATATTTTTCCCTTGTAGAAGAGTGAAAGAGCTTGAAAAAAAAATTAGAATCACCTTATTTAAATTTTTTCTAGAATTAGTTATGAATTATCAAAGTTGGACCTAAAATTTGGAATTATCAAGTGAATAGTAACCTGAGTAATTAAGTGCAAATTTTCAATTTACAAGCTTGTTTCATGAACTACTTGAACTGTGACGCTTCCAAATACATACTCAAGAGGGTGAAAGAATGACCATTTCACCCAGCATTGTCATTATTTACCTGTCAGGAATAATATAAGTACAAAACATTGTATACTATGTTAATGTTATATAATCATTTAAATGTCCTTCAATTTTTGGTTCTCGTATAGGGAACAATCTTTAATGTAGAATAACTTTGTCATAGAATTGAAAATGGTAGTAAAAAACATCATAGCTGAATTAAATAAGGGTGAAAATGGTACCAAAAGGTGCAATACATTTTAAAGGAACAAGAGGCCTTAGAGCCCTTCACTGTCCTAATAAAGGAACCTGAAGTTGGGAATATGGCTCAACATCAAAGAGATCAAGAGCTCTTTCAAGCCTGGAAGAAGAGAAAACAACATTGCTAGAAACACTTTATTAAGAACCATGGCTAATGACCTCATATGTGAGTTTGAAATGTTTGATACTACTTAAGCCATGTGGACAACCCTAAAACACAAGTTCAGTGGGATGTCCACAACTAAGCTTAGAAGGTTAACAATTAAGCTCGATACCTATAAGCTTAAAGCAAATACTCCTATGAAGTAGTACCTGAGGGAGATGTCTAACATAATAAGGGAACTCAAAGAGGCTAGGTATACCTTGACTGATAAACAACAAGTTTAAGCTGTGATAAGGTCACTTCCTTCTAACTGGAAGTGCATAAAAGTTAACCTCACCCATAATAAGAGTATTGTCACTTTTAATGATGCGGCCAAACACCTTGAACTAGAATATGAGCACTTAAAGCCATACAAATCCTCTAGCCAAACCTATTACACTAAGGGTGTAGGACCTTCTAACAAAAAGCCCAATTTCAAGAAAGGTCAGAAGTTTCACAAAAAGGAAAAGAAAGGCGACTTCAAGTTCAAAAAGAACAAGAAGCAGTTCAAGAAAAAAGGTAACAAGGGAGGCAAGAAGAAGAAACTTGACCCGAAGAAGGTCAGATGTTATGCATGCCAAAAGATAGGCCATTTCGCACAGGATTACACTGAGCAAAATGAACAGGAAAATATATTAGTAGATTATATGAATTCACATGTTTCATACATTTCAAACACTGCTTTTCTAATTGAATCTATTTGTTCTTCTTAGATTTTGGACTTAGGCTCAATATATCATGTAACAAGGGATTGCAGCTCCTTTGTGGAATATCATTGTTTGCCACATCTAAGTAAGTAGCTATATATGGGAAACAATGCAAGGATTAACATAAAAGGCATTGGCACTTGCAAATTAGCTTTGCATACTAGACAAACCTTGGTCCTATATGATGTTCTTCATGCTCCCAACATCTGACAAAATTTAGTTTTTGTTTCATGTCTTTCAGAACATGACAAGCGTGGAGACATATTTTTCACTTTGACTCTTTATGGTTCAGCTTTTCTTTCAAAAAAGTTTTTTATCATGGATATTATTTGCGATTTTAATACACATGATTGTTTCACTACTTCTTCCAATAGTGTTTATACAAATGCCTAGCATGCTAAACTAGGACATATAAATCAAAATAGAATGATTAAAGTAGCTAAAGAGAGTTTGCTAGGTGAAATCACTAATATGGAAATGTCCTTGTGTGAGAATTATCTAGCTGGAAAAGTAACTAGAAAACCTTTCGGTAAGGGAGCTAGAGCTGAGAGTACATTGCAATTAATTCACTCTAATATATGCGGTCCCATGAGTGTGAGGGCGAGGCATGGAGCATGGTATTCTGTTACCTTTATTGATGACTATTCAGGATATTGTGATATCTATTTGATCTCACATAAGTTTGAGGATCTTGAGTGCTTTAAACAATATATGAGTGAAGTAGAAAATCAAACAGACAATAAAATTAAAGCGTTGAGGTAATGAAAGTAAAGTAGACAATATATGAATAAACTAATTGAGGCAATGAATACTTGTCCGATCAATTCAAAGAGGTCTGTGGAGAAAAAGGAATATAAGATAATTAATCATTCCAAGCACTCCGTAACAAAATAGAGTTACTGAAAAGAGATATAAAACACTTGTAGACATGGTTATATCAATGATGCCTCAAGCAAACCTCCCAATTTCATTTTGAGGTTATGCTTTATTGACAATTGCTTTCATACTTAATTGTGTGCCCTTAAAGTCAAGTAGTTCCATGCCCTATGAGTTATGGACAAAATGCAAACCCAACCTTAGTATCTTGAGACCAAGGAGCTTAGCTACGTACATCCATAATAATTCTTATAAGTATGGGAAGCTGGGTCCAAGAGGAAAGAAATGTATCTTTATAAGATACTCAGAACAATCAAAAGGATATGTTTTTATTACAAAAACTGAAGATGGGACTATTACTGAAGTTGTATCAAGAGATACAACATTTCTTGAAAATAAGTTTCCTAGCAGGGGAGAAGTGGATTGTACTGTATCTCTTTATATGACAGGAGAACGAGGCGATACAGAATAAAATAGTGATCCTCAATCATTT